GTGCCTTGAGTTATGATTACACCTTCAATGTCCATCTCTCCCACCTGCAAGTGAGCACCTGGAGGGCAGGGTGTAAGGTGCACCCAGCTCTGAGCTCCAGGGCCCAACACAAGGCCCAGACCTGGAAAAGGGACAGAGTAGCTAACATTTATTCTAGACTAGGACTTGAGCTAATCAATTCACAAACACAATATCATTTAACCTCGCAGTATTTTATTAGGTGAGAAGAACATCTACAGTTTTACAGATGAGAAAATGTAGGCTCAGAGAAGTCAAGTCCCTTGCCCAGAATCACACAGTGAGTGAGTCACAAATCCTAATGAGACTCCATGTCAGTCTTCCTTAGAGCTTTAGCCACTCCAAAGCCTCCACCTAAACCGCTGCTCCTTAGGGGAGAGAAAGGAGGGAGAAATGAGGAGACATTGCCTCACTTGCCCCTCTCAGCTCTGACTGGGACAGGGACATCAGTTAACATCCCAATAAAAGCTGAGGACAGCCTCACTAGGGCAGGGAAAAGATGAGCCAGTGGTGGGACAGAGACATGCTTAGGAAGAGGCACCTTCAGGATCTGTCCACCTGCTGGATGAGGGAGTGCCAAAGGAGAGGGATGGATCACTGGGTAGATAGTGGTGCCGTTGACAGAACGTGAACTTTGAATCATCACTCTATCATCAGCATCACAGATAAAGAGAGCTAACTTCATGCCAGGCACTGTACCAAATACTCTTCATACGCTGTCCCATTCAGGCCTCAAGGCAACCTATGAGAAAGTATTATTGTCTCCATTTTATACATGAGAATATGGAGGCTTTCAAAGAATACCCTGTTGGGGACAGTTTACACAGAAAATTACCTGAACCTTGTAAAGAAATATTTTTACTGAACCCTTTTGACCATGAAATATATTCCCTAGCTTCTCAGTCCTTCCCTTCAGCATAAAGAGATTGGGGTGGCCTGTGTCCCCTATTATTGCCCCACAGCCACAGTTCCAACATGGGCTGGGCTCATGAGGGACAAAGGGATGGAGGCAAGGAGAGAGACTCCACAAAGTTCCAGTGTCCCAGGGCCTGCCAGTGCCCAAGATATTCCCCAGCCACCTCTCCAGCGGGTTTAACAAGTCTGTCCACAAATGGAACAAATGGAATAGGCATCCAGGAGTTCTCCAGGGAAGTGAGGGGCAGGCAGGTCAGCATCCCCCTCACTGAAGTACCCGGATTTCTTCTGATGGCCACATGGGCAGATTCCACTGCTCCTGAAATCCCCACCCTTCCTGCTCAAGGACTCACTCTGGCATCGCAGCTACTTGGAGCCCTCACCCCTGTCGAGCTATCAGAATTGGGTAAATGCAGCTGTTGTTTTGAAGGAGTAAGTTGAGGGCACTTAGCGAATCAACTTCCTAATGAATCTTTTCAGGTCTGGATGGGAACTGGTCTGTTACTATGGAACTTGGCTTGATTTGGAAATTAATGTGGTAATTTACAGCCACTCTGCCAGGCAGGAAGATTAAAAAAGAGAGAGAGAGTGAGGGAAGAGAGAGCGAGCGGAGAGAGAGCAAGGGGAGAGAGAGTGAGGAGACAGAGAGTGAGGGGAGAGAGACCTCTGCAGTGGCAGAACCTTGAGAGGCACCAATTTAGGGCATGTCCGGAGAGCTGGACTGTATGCACTCACTGGGTACCATGAAGGTGGTGTCAGCCAGGTGGGCCCATGTGAGACACAGGTATGGGGGCAAGGAGAGATACTTCACAAAGTAGATCAAAAATCAGTGCCCCAGGACCAGTTAGGGCAGTGCGGGCAGTCCTCCCTTTAGAGAGAGAGAGACAGACAGACAGAGAGAGAGAGAGAGGGAGAGAGTGAGTGTGTGAGAGTGTGTGTGTGTGTGTGTGTGTGCGTGTATGTCACTAACTTCTGAGATTCATTTCCCAAAGTCAGTTTTTGCCATGGCCATAAGTCACCAATGTTATTACTTAATGTTTTTCTTTAGATTTACTCAATTTGTATCTTAAATGAGTTTTATATCACTTCTATCATAAATGGAAAACCAATATTACATACAAAGAAGAAAAGGTAAATGTAAAATTAATTACACTGAAAATAAAACAAAATTACTAAATTCTAGAGCAGCCCTTGCCTGCCAAAGGCTCTGAGTCTGAAACCTGCCCCCATTTGGGGAAAAGCATGTTAAGAGAGGTACTCAAGACATATTAGTGCAGACCTGAGGTGTAAGCACCTCTTGTTGTAATCACACAGATTAAAAGAAGAATTAAATGGAAACTACTTTTGCACTTGTGAGTCAGTGCTGTGTAACGCTATGATCTTTGCATTTTATTTATTTAACAAACATTTACATAGCACATACTATGTGTCAGAGACTATTCTAAAAACTTTTTAAAAATCAACTCATTTAATTCCTATACTAACCCTAGATTATTTCCATTTTAGAGAGAGGAGACTGAGGTACAGAGAAGTTTAGTAGCTTGCTAGAAGTCACTTCAAACCATCTAAAATCCTGTACTGGTCATTCTACCCTTTGGTGGCCAGAGTGGCCCAGAGATCCTCCAGCCACTGTCTAGACCAGAGCTACAGACATGTGGGACGGAACAGTATGCAGACAGGGAGCTCTAGTTAGCTGTAGACTGACTCCTCATGGCCCAGGCCAGGCCAGGCCAGTGGTGACATCACTGGGTAGATCCTGGAGGTCCCTCCTCCTAAGCCCTCTGAGGCTCTCCATCTGACTCTAAGTCTGAGTTCTATGGGTGGCAGGCAGGAGACAGTTGGATGCTGATTCAAAAAAGAGTCTCTAGGAGAGAAGGGGATGATTTTCTTGTTTTTTTGTTTTGTGAGGTTTTTTTTTTTTAATATATAAATAGATATAACACAAGCCCTTTTTTGCTTTTCTCTGCTAACTGTTCTTGGCAGAAGTCTTTAAAGACCAGACAGGGGCTTTCACTGATGGTCAGGTGGCTGGGATCTGAGGAGATGGCGGGTTTCCTTGGCATAATGGCAGTGGTGGGTACAAATGGAATGGTGTAGAGATGAGGGGCCCTCTTTGGAGGGAGGGTTTCTGTGACCAGCTGCCTCTGCAAATGCAGGGAGGTGCCCTTGAGGGGCCCACTCTGGCAGTCCCTCCCTGGACAGCCCATGCCTTGTTCTGGCCTTGGGATGTAAGACATACCGCAATCCTAACTATAACCTGAATTGGGTGACAGGGGCCCTGCATCATTATTAGAATAATAAAAGAGTAGCAGATGGAATATTCTCGAAATTAATAAAACATTATTCTCTTTTGCACCTCCAAGTACGTGAGCCTTGCCCCGTCTAACTAGTGTGAAGTTGAGAATCTTCCAAAAGGGATTCCAAGAGAGAGAAAGTAATATTCGGCCTCCGACATTAAGAAAAAAAAAAGCCAGAATTTTATCCTGACCAGAACTAAAAGGAAGAGAGGAGGCTCAGAAGGAAGTCCAGATCATCAATAGAAAGAAGTAATACGTTTTTTCTGCAGATTTGAGTTGGAATGTGAGTTAAATTTGAGAATCTACTAAATAGTTCACATTGATCATTTCCTTTGTGTCAGGTCATTAATTTGCCAAATGTTTTATATGCACAGCCTCATTTAATCTTCTAAATAATCCCAAGGTTGGTGCTGTTACTATCTGCATTGTATGACTGAGGAGGAGGTTAAATAACTTGGTCAAGTTCAGACACCCAGGAGACAGTAGATCAGGGATTTGAATCTTCCGGCATTTCCCTAGACTGTAGCGATTGTCCCCATGAAACTACTAGGCCCCATGGCCCCCATGATTCACATCTCCCAAGAGTAACCAGAATGCATCTTAAGAGAAAATATGTCTTCAGGTGTCAGAACCAAAATTCTTGGGCTCATGTCAGTCAAGGCCTCACCCAGACACCCTCCATGGGGGTTCTCAGGAAAGAAGGAGAAATGATCCTTAGCCAGCCCCTCACAGATGCCACAGCACATAGAGCATGGAAAGGCCACTGGGAATGCATGGGCCCCACACTGGAGGATCTGAACTGTGGAGGCGTTTGCCTCCTCTGGGCTCCTTACACAGACCAGGTGTGTGCTACCACACAGATTCCAGATTTATCAATAATGCAGATCACACATCCTCACCAGGATCTGGGGCTTTACAAGTTTTCTCAGCAGCTCAGTGAGCCCCTCAGCTTCCAGAGGCTCAAGGCACAGCCTACCAGCCCACCTGGGGATCCCCGCTCCCCTTTCTTCAGGTGGAAGCTCAAAAGTCATGCAGGATCTGGCTTCCCACTAGTCCCCTGAACATTGGAGAAGTTTTGTCTCACCTGTCTACCTTTCCAGCCTTGTACCTTATACATATAACCCCAGCAGAGAGGGCATGAGGCCATGTTCATCTGTAGACCTTGCCCCCTGAGGTATCCAGATCTCTTCCCTTAAGCCTGAGGCCTAGGGCCCAGCCTGGCTCCACTAATGATTGTTGCACGGCCTTCAACAGGTGAGTTACCCTCTCTGCATCTCAGTTTCCAAATAAAGGGTTGGAGCCTCTGAGGCTTAGTAGCCACTGCTCCCCCTGTCTGGAACACCCTTCTCTACTTCTTAGACTGTCTGACTCCTAGGTCTTTCTAGACTCAACTCATCTTATCAGATCCTTTAGGAGGCCTTTTCTCATCCTCCAACTTCCAATTCCTATCCTAAGCTGAATTGTGTTTCTTCTCTCTGCTCCAATAATTATTATTAGGTTTTTGGTATAATGTCAAACTTTTATTAAGCACTTACCGTATGTCAGGCACTGTTCTAAGACTTCGCATATATGAATGTATTTACTTTTCACAGCTCCGTAAGGTGGATGCTAATTGTGTCCTTATTTCACCAAAAAGGAAACTGAGAAATAGAGGCAAAATGAATTACCTGAGGTCATCTAGCAAGTAAGTGTCTGAGCTGGCATTTGGACTCCTCCATGGTTCTCAAGAATGATGAAAATTATGATAGGGCATGAGGGAAGCCACCTTACCTGTCAGAGGTTCCACTGTGGTATGTGATCCTGTTCAGGGAGGCCCAGGCAAAGTATAATCAAATCGCTTCTTTTGTTTTGGACACTTATAGCTTAGCGATGGCCTCCAAACCCAACTTTCTGCTCCCAGCATCAGAAATTTGTCTGTTGTCATTGTTACAATTACCCAAATGCGCCCCAGAATAGAAGTCTAAGCTGTGGAAGGACAAGGACATGGCATCATGAATCAGAAAATGGGGTAAGAGGTGAAGCTGAGTGATTTGGGCAAGTTCCTGCTCCTCTCTGAGCTCTTCCCTCATCTGAAAACATGGAGATACAATACCTACCTCAGAGATTTGGGGAGGATCAAATAAAACAATGGGTATCTTGGGAAGCAGAGGCAGGAGGATCGCTTGAGGCCAGGAGTTTGAGATCAGCCTTGACAACAGTGAGACTCCATCTCCACAAAAACATTTAAAATTAGCTGGGTGTAGTGGTGTGCACCTGCAGTCCTAGCTACTCGGGAAGCTGAGACCGGAAGATTGCTTGAGCCCAGGAGTTTGGTGCTGCAGTGAGCCACGACCAGACCACTTAACTCCAGCCAGTGACAGAGTGAGATCCTGTCTCAAATATATATATATAAAATAAAATGATGAGTGTCAAAACCCTGAGCAATTAAATCATTCAATAGTGATTCAGCAAGGACCTATCACTGTTGCTGTCAAAGAGGGGAAAATGTCCCTCCCCTCAGAGAGCTTACATTTGAAGACGGTGTTTGCACTAGAATTGTTCCCCAGATCAGCTCTTCCTGAAGGAACCTATCTCTATGCGTGAAATCACTGTGTCCCCATCATAGGAGAATTTCAGAATCCACATTGACAGGTACCCTACTGCCCTACTCACTTCTATGCCCTCTTCTTCCTCTGTCCCCACCTAGGTAAATGAGCGGCCTCTGACAGCTTACCCTCTTCTCTGGGTATTCTTCCTCCTCTCTAAAATAAGGAGTTTGGGTTGGATTGATTTCCAAACCCTTCAAGGTGGCCATTAATTACTGAATGGTTTACCACTTCTTTAGATGGTGAGGGTAGCAGGTGGGCGAAGGATAAACCAAGCATCTGCGAGGATCTTAGGAGATTCCCAGGCATGTCCTCATTGAGGTTGAGGTACTAAATTTTACTCTTTGGCCACATCAACACCTTTAATTTCCCTCCACCTCCTGCTGAGAATACATTCTGGTTCTCACCCATGTGCCTTTGTCTATGCTGTTTCCTTTGCCTGGGACACTTCCCTCCATTCCTTGCCTTCCTGGGCAGTTCCTATATTACCTTTAAAACTGAGAGCAGAAGTTGACCCCTCCCTAGTCTGCTATTTTTGCATTCAGTGTATTAAAGTATAATCTCATCATGTGAATATCTGTTTCTCCCACAACACCGAGAGCTCCTCAAGGACAGGGACTGTATTTTATAAGGTCGTGTCCTCAGCCCCAGATCAGTGCCTGGTGCTAAATTGGTATTAGATAGATTGAATTGAATGTGATTTAAAGTCACCTGCTGAGGTACCTAATATCAGGAAATGGTAGAACCAGGAGTTGAACCCAGGGCTGAAGACTCCCAGTCCAGCACATCTCTTCTCCCTACAGCTGTCAGGAGAGGGTAAGAGAAGACCCACTGGCACAGGAAGGGTGTTGGGACCAGCTGCTTTCCTCAGCCTTCCACAGGGTTGGAGGAATCTGTGGGAAAGCCAGGTTGCCTGGGAGGGGTCCTCAGGGGACCATGCTGCCCAAACTTGTTTACTTCCCCTTTTCCCCTTCAGCCCAGCTGCTGGTTTCCTGGGGACTGAAGTCAAGCCGCACTTCTCCACTTCTGCTCCCTTTCCTCAGACCTCTGTCAATACAGTGGGAACCTGGCTTTCTGAATGAGATGGGAGGAGACAAAGAGAGCCACCCACCCCCACGCCTGTCGAGTGCCCAGTTCATATTCCTGCTGCGACTGTATCTAAATTTGCAAATCGTCACCCTGTGCCCCACCATCATGTGTCATCTTTTATGCATGGCCACCTCTGCCGCGCTGCACGGCCAGTTGCTATGCAACCAACGACAGCGCCGCGGGGGCCTGACATTAGTGAAAGCAAATTGACCAGAGGAGCCTTCATCCTGCATGCAAAGCAGCCAGGGCCTCACTCTTTGGAGAGGCTGCTGGAGCTGAGGCTGGGCCACCTTTTTCTATGGGGGTCAGACCCTTTCGCTGCAGCCTCCCTAGCCTAAGCTACAGACACTGGGAAGCTTTAGTCCTCCTACTTCTGGAAAAGGCTGAAATTTGACCAGTGACAAGAGCTGCTTCCAAAGGGAAGGGAGGGCAAATGCATCTTCAGGCTCTAAAATTCTGACCCTCCAGTGGGATGGACATTAGGTCCTGCAGAAAAAGAGTTACTATTCATTGAGCACTTACTATGTGCTAGGCAGTATTTGGCACGAGAACTGTACAATGCAAAAAGCTCTAACTTCCTGGATCCCAGCCCAGCCCCACTGTTACTCAGCTGTGTGTTGTGCATGCAAATTACTTATCAGGACATAGCCAGCCACTGAGGGCTGTCCCTAGACATCTTGGCAGGCAATAAAATATTGGATAATGGGGAGGGAGAAGGAAGCCAGTACAGCAGCAGGAGTGAGAAGATGAGAGAAAGGAAGGGAGGATGCTGCCTTGCACACCCAGTGTTGCAGGACTCTGAGCCTCCTGTTGGGAAGAACAGAGGACATTAGGAGCTGGTAGTTCTGCTCCCCTCTTCTACATAACCCCTAATGGCCCCCACTCCCAGGAATGTGACCTCACAATTTCCTATTTGAGCATGCATACACCATTTTGCACTGGAAGGTAGAAAGTTGTGCTGGAAAGGACAAGGCTTTGGAATTCATTAGAACTTGCCTCAAATCTGGGTGTTTGCCCTCCCTAGTGGTATGACTACAGCCATTTACTTCTTTTTTGAAATTTCAGCTTCTCAGTCTATACAATGGGCATGATGATACCTACCTTCACAGGGTTAAATGGCTGCCATATGTAAAGCACCTAACAGAAAATCAGTAAGTGCCACTCCTCTCCCCCAAACTTCAGTGGCACTCAGTCAGCCTGACATTGTTCCTATCCACCTCCCCCAGCCTTGTCCTCCTCAGTCCCTGCACCTCTGCACTTTTCTTCGGGTACAGCATCTCCCTAGAAGCCCCTCCTCTTGCTCTTCGCTTTCTAAAGTCTGGTCCACCTCTAAGGACTATAAAACAAGTTAAAAGTAACTTCAGTAAGAAACCCTGCCCACCAGGCCATTCCCCAATCCACTTTCCAGTGGAAAATTCTTGGAGCAGGGAACCAAGAAAAGACTCTCCTTTCTTCGGTGGTGAGTTTGAGAAACTCTCTCTTAAAGCTCAGTCACCCATTGAGGAATGTCATTCTGTAGCTCCTGTATCCTGAGGGCTATGTCTCACCCTGAAGATGGGCAAGGAGCAACCTCAGAAAACATAGCTCAGGGACTTACCAGACACCCAGCATGGTTCTAGCTGCCATAACACCACTGTGGTTTTGCACTAGAGTTGTTAACACTCATAACCACTAACTAATTCACAATTACTCCTTAACATACCAACAAAACCTTTGCTTTTCATACAAATCAGCGAGGTAGACATTACCCCCCATTTACTGAGGAAGAACGGAGGCTCAGAGAGGAAAGGTGACATGTACAAGATCACACAGTGGGTGGATGGCGGTCAAACTGGAGCTGGTACGCAGTCTTACATGAAAATGGCCTACACAGCTGTAATGTATGGACTTTGTCTACATCATCAGTCATCATTAACATTTCAGACTAGTTTGCCCATTGAAAAGAAACTCACAAGTTGAAACACAAAGCCACTTACCTGTTTCTTGTAAAGATAAAAACCTTTACCAAACCCAGAGATAAGCAGCAAAGGGAGTGCAAAGAGTATCAGCTCAGCTGGATGTCCCTGGGCAAGTGACTTCATTCTGCTGAGCTGGGGGTTCCTCTCTGTGAAATGGAAGACAAGGAGGTTACCTACCAGATTCTCAGGCCTGTTTTGAAGGGCAAAAATGATATAGATCAAAACAGTGCTAAAGTATGAAGTTTTGATAGATATTAGTATATCCTTAGAAATGACATTGCTCCAAACCAGAGGTTAAAAACCTGTTTCTGACACATGCTTTTATTTAATTATTCGATGTTGAAAATTGTTGTTTTCATTGTTTAAAGGGAGATGTGCCGATTGTATTGCCTTCATGTTGTATTGAAAAGCATTTCTTCATTATTTGAACTAATTTCCAAACAAATTAAAAACTTGTAGCAGTCAAGCTCTGACTGTTGCATCTATTAGATTCAGAAGATGGCAAATTCCTTAAAACACAGATATAAACAATTCTGGTAACACAATCTGATTTTATAATTAATTTTCTGCCTGGGAAGGCGAAAGTTCTCCTTCTCATGTTCTTTGTCCTCAGGTCCCCAACTGTTCTGCCAATTCTGGCAGACTCTTAATTAAGGAAAAGCAGATTTTGTTACCTGGAATTCTGTTGTGTTGTATGTAAAAAGGCAAATGTTTTTCTCAAATGTGCTTTGATCAGAGAGATGGCCAGGTAGAGGCAGTCAACACATTCTTCTGTGACTGGACCTTAGTGGTTCCTGTTTTTACCCTCCTGTTGCCGCTGTGAACACATTCTTATCAGAGTGTGGTCACTCAGCAAGCCACCCTTGTCAGTAGCCTGTAGAGGCCCCACACTATGCCAGCCTGTGAGGCAGATGTGTCCCGGGAGTACTCAAGGTCTAATCGAGGTGTGAGGCTGAGACAAGAAACAAGGAGCAGTAAACATGTGAGTAACAGGTTGTTGAAATATCAGGAGGGTGGTGCACTGGGCCCCTTGTGAGATAATGGCCATATTAGATGGGTCCAGATTTAGTCTATGACTAGGTCAGGGCCAGGTTTATGACTCAATCAATAGCTGGGATCAGTCCTCAGCATGCACCAAGATCAGGGATCAGGCTGTGACCAAGATTAAGGTTCAGAGAATGATCAGGTTTAGGGTTCAGTCTGTGGCTAGAATC